CAGTTGTTGGATAATTAGGATCGTTTCCCTGGTTAATGAAGGTGAAAAATCAGATCTTGTGTCTCGCCAGGTTTGTAAAACCCGTCTGTTAAAAGAATTGCACTGACGGGAGACCCAAACTTTTGTGTTTCAGCACAGGTTGTGCAGGGGAAACCTGCTATAGCCGGAAGGAAAAAAAAAAAACCAAATAAAGATATTTCTTTGATGGTACCATCTCGTAGAGGTGGAGAGGACTCTATCGATGCTGTTGGAGCAGGCCAAGAAATAAAAATGACAAAAAGGGCTAAAAATGACTAAAACCACCATTGAATAAAAACAGTCACGGCTCAGAAGCATGAGAAAAGCGCCTCTGTGTGCGGACAGGCTGCGGGGCCCCGGCCAAGGGCTGTGCTGCCACGGGAACATCTTTGGGCTAACTATAACACAGGGTGCTGAAATGGATTTTGAAATTATTTTAATTATTTTATTTTATTTTTTAAGGAAAAAAAAAAAAGGTGAATCTTTGTCCTACCCTATTAATCCCGTGGAATTTCAGCACCGTGGCAATTTGGTGAGATTTGCTGCGACCTTGGCATCTGGGGGGGGTCATTTTCCCTTTTCCCCTCATTTCTACCTGTTTTAAAAAAATGAATATTATTGCACAGGGTTTTGGATGCAAGCAAGAGGTATGACCTGAAACCTAAATATTGTTCATCACCCTGATGTTATTAAATTAAGTGTGTTAGGGAGGAGAACCCCCCTGTTTTATCCGGGATACGATGTGGACAGTGGGAGATCCCACGTATCGCAGAGAACCCGGCGTCCCGTTCCCATATTTTATCCTGCTTTGCCCCGTGCAAAACACACAAGGGATTGTCTGGAGGACAGTGGGGACCTTTATACCCCCAAACATGTTATGGGAGCTCAGCTATTTTCCCACCCCCACCCCCCGCCTTTGATGTGTTTCCAGCCTGGGAGTCCATCCCCGGGCAGCCCTCGAGTGACCCGGGGAGATGTCACGGAAGCCACCGAGGACCCCAAGTCCCCGTTTTTGGAGATGGGATGGGGTGTATTTGTGGACCAGGTGCTGCCGGCAGGACAAGGATGCTGAGATTTTGCACTGACTGTGCAAAAACCTGGACAGAAAGCATCATCCCTCAAGGAAAACCAGGCACAGCATCACGGGGGGTGGGGGGGGTGTGCCTCCCCTCTGTGGGGAAAGCAAAAATCAGCTTAAATTAGCAAAGTGCCCAATTAGGCACAATCCAGCTCTGAATTCACGGAAAACAGGAGAAAATAAGGGAGAGCCCAGCTGCATGGGATCGTAAGAGGAGGACGCTGGTGGCATTTCAGGCCCAGGAAGAGCCCCACAGAGCGACCCAGTGCACAAGCGTGAGACGCTGGGCACAACCCTGCTGCCCAGGGGCTTCCCGTGGGGTGAGCCTTAAATTAAGCCATTTTTAAGGCCACATCCCTCCTTGGAGAGCAACATATGGCAAAAAACTTGAGATATTTAGCTCGCAACTGCCCAGGAGGGCAACAAACACTCAGCACGGGGGAACAATCTCCTGCCTGGACCACGCTGCAGACGATGCTTTGACACGGTGAAGGAGATGCTTGCAGGGCACTGGGCCAGATTTGGAAGGGGGTGAGGGGTGGGGAGAACAAAGAGATGATGTTAGAAAGATGCCCGTGACGGGAAATATTTTAATATCACTGAGTCACAAATTTTTAGTACAAACAATTGGAAAAAAAAAAAAAAGCGTTTAAAAATCCCAACCAGCCCCATTCCCACTGCCACGCACCCCATAGAAAAGTTAATGCAATTTTATATTAAAAGAATAAAAACATTCTTCTACACAACGCTGTGCTCTTGATATAAAAACACCTTTGGGATTGTGTTGGTTTTTTGGTTTTTTTTAAAGCACGAGTTTCCTTTTCAATCCTCACTGACAGTAGTTTTTGGTGTGTATTTTTGGAGGGGAACCCCATAAAGTTGGGTTCAGCCAACCAAGCACCTGATGAGTGAAGCCAGACTATAAGCACTGCTCTCCCCTGATGGGTGAAGAAGACATTTTTACAGGGGGTCTGCAATTTAAAAAAGAAAGAGGGCTGTTAGTCCTGCCAAGAGAGAGAAATCACCCACCCCCCCCAGGGCAAAAATAGCATCGCTTCCCCTCCAGCACGGACCAGGGCCCAAAGCCTTGCATAGGCATGAAATAAATAGAGGAAAATGAAATAAAATAGAGGAAAATGAAAAAAAATAGAGAAAAATAACATAGAGCAAATAAAAATTAAATAGAGCAAAAAAAATTTAAAAAAACAGCTACTTCAGCTAATTGGGGTTAAAAAAATAAAATAATAATAAAAAATATAAAATCAAGCTCTTTGGATCCCTTCCACTGTTTTTTTCCTGCAGGTTAGCTGGCATAGCACATGCAATAGGGACGGATGGATGGAGCTATAGGGGATCTGGGGGGGCTTTACAGATGAAATTGGAGTTATGGCGTTTGCAGAGCAGTTAGTAGTGGTCCAGCCGAGGTACAAGGAGGCAGAGGCAATTAGCACGTTGGCATTTGAAGGCTTCACCACCCGCTCCAGGGGATCCTGTTTGGGGGGGAAGAGGGATTTGGCCGCAGCGGGGAGGCATCAAAATTCACGGGTCTGTTCATCTGCTACCCGAAATAGCTGCGTCGGGCACCAGAAATAAAAACAAACCCCGGCTTTGTGTTCAAAACCCCCTTTTTGCCTGGTTTAATTTGCCCAACACCATTTATTCTTCTGCTTAACAAGGGCCCCGTGCTTGCTCCCGGTGAGAAATAAAGCTGGGGCAGATTTTAGCTGGCAGAGCTCAGCGGGAGCACCAGCAATGGGGCTGGAATCAAGAATTATTAATTAAAAAGAAATAAAATGATGTTGCTTTTGGGTAGCAATGAGGAGGGGGGGAATGCCTGCACCCCAAAACAATCCCTCTGCTAAAAGTTGGGGGCAGGGATGCTCCAGCCCTGGCTGGGATGGAGGTGGGCAGCAGCTTCGCCCAGGGGAACCAGGCGCCGGCTTTGCTCCTCGAGAGGGAACGGGGGTGCAGAGGCGGGGAGGGGGGTCACAGCACAAAGCCCCTCTGTGCAGCACACCCCCGCCACACCAGCACCGTGCCCCCTGCGGCACCCGCATCATCCCCGTCGCTCCGCAGCATCCGCGTGACGGTCCGGCCACCCACGGTCCCAGTCACCCCGGGGAGGTGGGGGGACACACAACCCGCCTGGCTGGGGGGAGCCCGGCGATGATGGATACGG